GCACAGGGAACATATATATACACAAGATCTTATGGTAGCTCACAGAGAAAGGAATGTGACAATGAATATATATATGTTCATGTATGACTGAAAAATTGTGCTCTGCACTGGAACTTGACACAACATTGTAAAATGATTATAAATCAATACAAAATTTAAAAAAATTTTTTCTGAAGTTCCAAACTTTCTGATCAGAGTTTCAGAGATGGAATTGTATTGTAATTGTTACCATTTTGTTTCCATTTCTACATGGAGCGTCTATAAATTATAATCTCCTGAGGCGTCAGTACTTGAAATAATAAGGAATAAGAGGCCTGGGTTAATATAAAAATGTGAACCTTAAACATGTTTGACATCTTAGAAACTTCTGGCCGTATGTCTACATTTATTCATTGAAACACTTCTTACAGGTTTCTCACTGGTGAAACTAAACATTTTAATTGAGTTCAGTATTCATCCTCTATCAGGAAGCTAAAGAATGGGGGTAATTAATCATGTTCCAGGTCCCTGGGCATTTCATATGAAATTAACTAGAACAGAGACTGTGATAATTCCACCTTGAGCGTATCCCAAAGTGATAAAAAAAATTAGATTTTTTTTTCAATTTATGCTATATGTTCAGTCAGTTATAAAAATATTTTCAGCTGAAAACACTGAAATGTAGTCATGAAATTTCATCAACTGTGGGTTATTTTTTTGGAAACAAGAACCAGAGCCCTTGGGTCATTCGGTCTCTCCCAGCTGATCTTGCTGTGAGCAGCTGTCACCCCGTAAGTTGCTAACTCATTAGAATCAATAAGATTTGGATGTGACCCGTGGAGGTTTGTGGAGGCTGAAATTACTTTGGGCTTTTCCCTGTTTGTGGGGAAGTGGATCATGTTTCCCCGTCACCTTCTCTTTGTTTCATCTTGGACATGTTTACTCTAAGAGAGAATTTCAGCTTAGCCCTGAACTTTACCCTTGGCTATTGGCTGCTTCTAGGCTGGAAGTTTAATTCATTCCTTTTACAGGCCTACCTGTAAGCAGGAAAGAGTCATTGGTCCATATGTCTCACTTTTTTTTTTTTGGTATAATTAGAACTAGCAGAACTCAGAGGCTTCTTGACCATCCATAAGACAAACAGGCTTGAAGGCTTGGAGGAAATTGCAAATCGAGATCTGAGTGAAATCCCTTGGTGGGGGATGGGGGATGGGGGACGTGGTTGGGGTATTGTGTAAAATTATCAAAGTCCACCCTGATACTGGAGATGTTACCTAGTGTGCGTAATATTTAGGATATGGTCATTTATATGGACATATACATGTAGCCATTTTTGTAATAAACAATTTTTAGGCATTTGATAAAGTATGGAAAATAACGAGCTATTTGACACTGCAAATTCAATTTAGGCCCTGTGCTCCTCCCCCACCTCCCGCTGTCCCCAGAGGTGACCGCAACCTGGCGTCTATGGTACCCAGACATCTTGACGTATTTTACTACATTTGTGTGTATGAAAAAATAATAATATGTAACAACATAAAAATTGTGTGTATATGTGTGTATGTAGATCAGTTGGGAAAACTCATGGAATGTAGTCATAAAGCAACTTTATTTTTGTCCCTTTACATTTATTTGTTGCAAATAATTCTTCCCTGTAGCTGGATGAAAACCGAGGAAGGTGTGTGATGGCTCTTGTCACTCTCTGGATGGAAAAAAAAAGGCCCCACGATCTCTTTAAGTCACAATACCTAGTCCCCATTCAGCCATTTAAATGTTTTGTTATCAAAACCCTCTCCGGAGAATGGGCCACCCTGGATTTTGGCACTGGCCTCCGATGGCTGATGGCCGACGGGGTACTCAGACTTGGCCGTGGCCAGATCGACTCTGGCAAGGTCCGTGATGTCGAGCCACGTGCTAGGCACCCCCTCACTGCCATGACCGCTTCACAGGGTCCCACTGAGCAAGCACCAGGGAGCTGAGAAGGGGCTGGCAGACGTCAAAGGACTCTCCACCAGCGCAGTGAGAACCTGTTGGCGGGGATGCTCTCCAACGGGGCGCTGGCTTGACCTGTGAGTTTCTTTGCGCTCCTGGCCGCTCCTAGAGGTCCTTCCACCCTGTTCCTCTCCCCCTCCCCCTCCTCACCAGCCTCCGGCCCACCCCGCTCCCAACCCCCAGCACCGGGTCCTGCTCATCCCTCCCACTGGAAGGAGACTGGGGACACCACAGAAGGAGGAAGGATCGGAGGGGCAAAAGGAGACTGTCCGGCCCACTGCGCACATGTGGGTCTGCGGCCAGCTCTCCATTCGGACCCATGGGTGCTGAGCCTGTCCTGGTTCCAAAGCCGCGTCTCATCTGTACAGCTCAGTGAACCTAGTTAGTTACAGGGCGTGTGTCTTCACCTGTCTTAGAGTCAGATGTCAGGTTCCCTAAAAAAACCTTACTGGGACCTTGATTGTCAGGCCAGTAAGTTCTTAATAAGCTTGTCTGTTAAGTGAACTGACTAGATTAAATTTTACCCTAGGAGACTAATGCCTCCTCCAGCCCCTCTGCCTCTAACTGTTCCATGTGGTTCACAGGCAGCTGTGTTTCATTCTGACACCCCACATTTCCTTGATAAATAGAGAAACTGGGTTCACTTCCAAAGCTATGTAGAACCTGGGAGAGTAGAAGACAAGATACATAAGCCAACTTTTTTTTGTTTAAACAAGCCAACTTTTTCTTTTCCTCGAAATTTTCTTAGTCTCTGTCATGGATTTGATTATTATTTTTAATTGCTTTTACCTATCTTTATTTTGCCTTTGTTCTAATTTCTTTTTTTTAATTAAACTTTTTTTAAATTGACACATAGTCAGTTACAATGTGTCAATTTCTGGTGTACAGCACAATGTCCCAGCCATGCACATACACATATATATTCGTTTTCATTAAAGGTTATGACAAGATATTGAATATAGTTCCCTATGCTCTACAGAAGAAATTTGTTTTTGGGGATCAGATTATTTTTAATTTGTTGCTCTTGTTGGCAGACGTTGGTAAAGTTTCTATTGTCAGTGTGATTGCTGTTGGGAATTCTGGTTCCTTGAGAGATGATTTTTCTATCTTCAGATAGTCCCTCCATATCATTAGATATTAAGTGAGGATTTTTATCTGCCCTATACATGCTGTAAGGCCTTTCCTTCCCGAATTGTTTACTTGAAGCATTCTTCATTTTAAAATTACAGTAGCACCGACCATAATGTTGCGTTTTCAAGCACATAATCCATCAAATAACTAAGAAATTAGGAATTGGTCTAAATAAGGCATTTGTACCCAGTAAGATGTGCAAAAGCTGTGCGTATCAGCCCTTTAATTGGAAAGAAAAGGTCACATTACAGCTGTGTTTTTGAGCCCTTGGGTACCACAGAATCTGAGCTTCTACAATTACACTGGCATTTATTTGATTGCTCCCAGAAGACTAATTGCCAAAATATTTTGAATACAAATTATGATGTTCATTTCCTGGCAATAAACTGGACTGTGAAAATGTGAAGGAACAGAATATGTACATGAGCAGATGTAACATTAAGAACAACAGATCTGATGGCGACCAGTGACTTTTAGGCACCTCCCTTGCCCCCACCTGCCTTTTTAAAAAAAGAATTCCTTTATAAGCAAAACAAAAAAAATTTTCAAAGACAAAATGAGTTATTAACCTGAAGATGAAAGATTTCACTACCAAGGTAAAAAATGACTGCACAAAATGAAATAAATTCTTAACAAGGTCCACCAATACTTACATTACTCAGGTACTATTTTTGAAAAATCTGAAAATTCTGCCTGCATAAACTTGCTTTAGCTTGACGGTGACCTGTAACCAAAGATCTTTGGTCATGTCTGCTTTATAAAGTTATTTCTTTTTGCAAAATAGAAGCTTAAAACATTTTAAAGTAGGCATAAAGTTTCGCTAGAGCTTCCTGGTTTTAGGCAGAATTTCTCAGAACTTCCTACCACTCGAGTTTTATGGAAAGAACTTAGGTTACAATACAGAAGAGCTGTAAGCTTTATTTTGATCAGGAATGTGTATAATGTATGTTTATATTTATTGATGTTATCCTCCAACCGAGCACAAATGAGGATGAAGATCACCTTGACCTATCTCAGTATCTGGAGCATTGAGGAGTCTCTGGTGGTATTCGATTGCAAGCCTGCTTGATTCGCTTTAGCTGCTTAATGAGGGACAAGCCCATTCTTCATAATTTCTTGTAATTCCGTACATTAGTAAGGACTTAAATGAAGACAAAGTATCATTCCTGCTTTTTGAAGTCCTAGAAAACTATGAAAAGCAAAAACTTTCTAAAAGTGAACTTTTATTGGAAGATTAAAGAAGTTTAAAGAATTAAGGAGAAAAATACTTTAAAATGTTCTCGTTTTAACCATAGCTAGGTTTAACCTAACATACTGGCACTGCCGATGATAAGATAGTGTAACAAATGGACAGATTATGAGTAGGAGGCTTGTTCGTTATTCCTATTTCAGACGTTTCGAATGCAATTCCTTCCCTTTCCCTGGGAATTCCTGATCTGGAGAAAGGCTGCTGGAATCCTGACTAGTTATCTCCAGGCAAAGGTCCACACTAGTGGAGTTCGAGCCACAGATATCGCCTCCTTCTGGTCTTAGAACAAGACTTTCTAAGGGTGGTTGACAAGTCTGTATCTTAACAAGTCAAACAGCTTGCTAATTAAGACGCAGTGAAGTTAATTCTGTGAATGACCTGTCAACTTAGACCTCTTTCACTTACACACTTTGCAGATATCTGAGTGCTGAGTCTGTGCAGCACTGGGTATGATGCTTGGACTTAGGGACAGATCCAAGGGTTAAGAGACAAACTACACTCTCTGGGACTGTGAGAGGCTGAGTGGGGAAGGCGAGAGAAGTGTGTGAATCAAACATGGCATGGCTACTCTGACCGCCTTTATAGATTAAAACAAATACAACAAGAAACAAAGCAGGCCGCTCTTGAGAAGCGATGACTCGTCTAGGAGCAGGACCGAGTGCAATACGGAAGGAACTAAAGTTAGAAAATAGACTATTCTATAAACTGTTATTCTCTGCAAATGCCTTTCTTTTAACATTTTTTATTGATTTATAATCATTTTACAATGTTGTGTCAGCAAATGCCTTTCAAGAAACGAAGTCATCACATGATCCAAGACAGTGACAACACGGTGATACTTTTTTCCTACTGAAACACTGCAATCTCTTATGTCTTTAACTGAATACCTTTTTGAATATTAAGGACTATTTCTTGGTTTTTACCTATTCGGCTAACATATCTGCTCTTAAGAGATGAAGCATGTAAAAAACTGAGAAGTATGGCAAGCTGTATAAATGTAAGATGTTTGCTTAAAAATACTAAGCTACACTGAACCAGTGTTTCTGGTGGTATTGTCTATCTGCCAAACTTAATACCACATCAGTGACCGCTCTACAAATCACACCAAATATGACACAGAGACAATTTGTTTAAGAAAAGTTTTACTCATGTGTTAATATTTCAGCAAAGTTATTGCAAAGGGTTTAAAAGGCAGACAGACACACTATTATAGGCCATAAACTAACAACTTTTATACAATTAAAATATTACACAGACCTATGGGACGTGTTGAAATAACTAACAGACCCACAAAAGAAATTAAATCTGAAAGGTTAAATCCAGTATTAGCACCTACAATCTCTCTGAAAGTATCACTTTTAACTGTTTCATTCTCTCCTAATGTATTTCTTAACTTTCTTCCAGATACAATACAGTGCTCTCGAGCCCCAAGGCAACGAAGGACCTGAGAAGCCCCAACACTAAGAACGCACAGCCAAAAGAACCAGAAATGTTGACTCCGACTTGAGAGTTTTAGTTGGAAATCCCTTAACTTACTGAACTTGAACCAATCGTAAGATTTCTATGCAGTGAATACTGTATATGAGGAACATCTATGAATCGTAAGGGATAGTTAAAAATTAGCAATATACAGTATTATTCCTATCAAATTTTTTTCTCATAAGTTATATTTATAACAAAACTAGAATTAAAATATTTATTACACTTGTTTATTACACATTCAGGGACACAGCAGGGACATTTATGTGTTTGATGGTTTAGCATCCACTTTATTGTGCTTGCTGAGTTTTGGAGGGAACAGGCAACACATATATCTTCCCAACATTCAAGGAAATGCTATAATAACAAAATTTTCAAAAGAAAAAAAAAAACCTTGGAAATTGCATTAAATACTGCTTTAATTAGGAACTGCTATAATAAAACCAGTCACATGATACATTTTTTTCCCAGTGAGCTTCAGTTTGAGAAACTGGACAGCAGAATTAGGGCTTTGGGATTCGAGTCAAATGGCAAAACTGGTAGTTCTCTGACATCTGGGAGATGCATTAGCAAAACCACAGACACAGCCCATCCTTCAGCGAAGTCCCAGAGAAGAGCGTTTCATTAACTTGGGGCTGAGGCTGGACCCTGGTGAGGATGGGACCTGCCAGAGTGGCCCAGGGAATGTCGGGAGCCACCGGAACTGGGGGCAGGTAAGAAAGAAACTGTGTTGGGCTGACCAACTGCATATTTTATTAATGGCTTTGAATAAAAGAAAAAGTGAAATGCTTCATTGTGTTTTCTCAGGAACTAATCAGAAGATTACAGAGTCCTACACAATTTGGAGACACACAGTGGATGCTGAGCGACTAGAGGTCACTCCAGGTGCGGAATTTAGAAAGTCAGTCCTTGGAGTGAATGGCACCGTGGCTCTGGCAGCAGATACGAAGGAATGATGCTCTGGAGAGGAGGTAGGGGACACTCTGCGGTCGGCCAGTGGGGAGATGAGGGTCCCAGCTGGAGATGGGATCTGTAATTAGAGGGGAGAAGGAGAGGGTTTAGACAGGGACTCCAGACGAGCCTCAAAAACAGCAACTGATGTGAGCTCCTAATATGCGGGGTACAGGTTACCAACCCACGTTCTAGCTAATAACATACCTGGATCTGCACCCCTTGCTGGAGTGAGCACACAGCTCAACAGCCGAGAAACCCAGGCCCCGCGTCCTGAGACCTCTGACCCACCGTGTCACGGGAGCTAGTACACCCCAGGGGTAAGTGGCTGCCTCCATCACTAACTTTCAGCCTTGGACAAGTCACCTAGGTTTCCTCATCTGCAATCAGGGATAGTATCATCTACCTCATAGGGGTGTTGCGACCATTAAGAGCATTTAGAATAGTTGGTGCTGATGAATGTTGGTCATTTATATTATCACTAATTTATCATGATAGAATAGTGATATATTCCATTTTTTAAGAAGACAATCTTAATCCAAAGAGAGAAAATACCATCAGTGTATTTAACACTAAAGGTATCCAAAAAAATGAAAACTTTTTAAGAGGAGCAAAATATTTTGTTTAAAGCTCTTTTTAAAAATAAAGGCCATCTCCATGATTTGTGTCCTCTCCTGTTAAATTAATTTAAATCCCATATAATGCTTCAACCTGCTGACACTTAAGCAAAATTAGACAGTAGAATTAATTATTCTTAGAGTTTTCCCCTTGTCCAAGACCTCAGCCCACACAGGATCCTGGGCCCGAGGAACACATAGCTCTGAAAACTAAATTGCACTGAACAAAAATATTTACGTTCATGAAATTACCACAAGTTCCTAACGTAAATCTTATTTCAAAATCTCACCGTTGTTGAATACTGATAGATTAGTCTCTGGTGTGTAATTGCTCAAAACCCCGCACCACCTCAGAAAAGCATTATATTAGCAATAAGAGCTGCAAAGTGAGTCATGACAAAGGGGTGGTGCCAAGTCAGCGCAGCTGTAACCCATCAAACAAACGTGTCCCAACCGCACCGAACAAAAACCGCACAGAGGGTTCCTGGCTGCCCGTTTGGGAAATGTCAGTTTGGAAACTGGACGTGAGAAAGTGCGCAGACCGGTAACACCAAGTGCTCTGAAACAAAGCCTCTGTGAGGAATAAAACCCATGGCGGACGATGTCATTATCTGGGCCTGTGGCTTTCAAGAATTCCGGCGACATGTTCTCTAGCGCTAAAAGGAGGCAGCTTGGGAAGGTTGGTTGGTCTTTAGGATTCGACAGATGGTACGGGAGCAGACAAAATTAATTTTTAAAAGGTACTGGAAGAGGAGGGGATAAACACTTAGAATAATCGGAGGAACTCTTTTTTTTGTCTCCACATTTCTGCTGCCAGAAGTACTTCCAGGAAGTGCGATGTGAAACATGGATCTCTGTGGTCGGTCAGACTTGGGCTCGTATCCCAGCACTCAGCTGTGTGTCTCTGAGAGCATCATTAAGCTGTTTGTACCCTGGTTTGCTTATCTGTCAGATGAGGGAAACACTTTGCAGAGTTCTTGTGAGAATCAGAAATACCGCTGGTCTGACACGCAGCACCCACAGGCGCCCTCACAAAGGCAGCTCCCGTGATTACTGCTGCTGGTGCCCCGGGGAGGAGTCTGCTTTGGTAGGTGAGTCAGTGACAGAACCTGCAGACAAAGGCCACCAGGAAAGCACAGCGGAGCACTGCCGGGACGAAGAGGGCAGGACTGAGATCGGCAGAAACAGGGAAGTGTGATTTTTGTGTCACCCAGACGGCCGGGCTGCCGCACCGCGGCTTCCACACGATTCCTCCTCTAGGTTCCTACCAAGATTAACTGATTTGTTTCTCACTTATTCAAGGTCATTACACGGATATATAAGAACATAAACATTTTGAAAAGAATTAAATTTCCTGTTCTACCCACTGGAGGTAAGGCTTCTACAGGGCTATGCAGCCACTTAAGTACGTGAAATAGTCAGAATCTCCGTACTCCACTCTGAAATGTTTCTTTTGTTACTAAAACCATTTGTTTTCTTGGCAGGGGTATTTCTGAACTGACTCTTAGTGTAAAATCCAACTATTAAAATGCCTAGGATAGTTTTGAAATATTAAAATTAACTACCACCCCCCTCACTGCCACAAAAAAAACCCCCAAATCCCCAAACCAAAGAAACAACAAAACCAGTCCAAAAACAATACGGGGGAAAAATATTAGGATTAAATTCTGTATCACTTAGGTTATGGAACTTGGGTTAAATGCACATTTTAAATATTAAAGCCAATAGACTATGTCACTATTCAACAATCTATTTATGATACAGGGAAGAAAATTCATGCATCCTACAAAGTTCCAGAAACTGCATATAAATGACATAATTTCATATTTACCTTTAATCCTGTGGTTTATCTTCCACTGCTCATGCCTCTGTCTTCATAAATGGTAATTTCAATCTAAACAGCATGGCTGTTAAGAAAACACACTACAGAACAGAGCACACGAAGAGGCCAGATGATGGATGTGACCTGTGTGGACCTTTCTTTCTCCTGCTTAAAAACACAATGCTTTCTACACCTGCCGGGAAAATGTGAGAAATGTAACTGCTTGTAGTACTCCACATACAGTTCCTCCCCAAACATTGATTATTTTTTGAAACAAACAAACAAAAAATTCTAGAAAAGGATGCTTTACTATAAAACTCAGGGGTGGTGGTGGTGGTCGTAACTGAGCACCCGAGGAGGTCATGAATTCAGAGGTTCAAAATGCCCTGAAATGATATGCAAACTTTTTCTTAGGAGAGGGTTCATGACCCTCTAAAAGCTTAGGAATCATTGCTGCGGAGCATAATAAAACTGCTGAAATTATGATCAGCCGGAAGGCCTGGGATCATCTGACCTAGGTTTTTTAAAAAAAGTTTATTTTACCCCTTACTCCAGTTATCAAGCTAAATTAGTTTTTTTTTTCGCCATTTTATTTAGTGGATTCACTTAGTGATTTTCAAAGCTTACTGCCTCTAAAAATATGCTCCGTATGTCAAAGGTAATGAACTGATACATCTGGCAGCTGTAACTGATTTCAGGGAGTCCGATGAACCCACGGAGCTGTGATTCATTTGGACGACAAGTCTCACCACACATTACCAGTTCGTGCATTTCAAAGGGGCTGGAGGTTCGGTCCTGCAGCTGAAATGCATTACTCACACCACTCCCGTTATTACTACAAGATGCCCTCAGAGCCACCAGGACGAGGCGGCCAGAATACCACATAAGCCGCAGAGCCCAGCACGGCGCAAAGGGAGGAGACCTGCTTTAAGATAAGCTGCTGGAGCTCCGAGGCTCGTGGCAGGGATGCAGCTCCCACAGGAGAGTCCGAGGGCACGTGCCAGAGAGGGGAGGTAAATTCTCTCCGGCCAGTGCCAAACGGTACCATCGAAATGTACTGTTCACAGCTATTTAGACCTTACGGTCGAGACTGAAAAGATACAACTCGCAGTCCTCTCTCGATGGGGTCTGTCAGGAGGAGGCCCTGGGGCGCGTATATCTTCTCATTCTGCTCTTGAATGTATTTGGAGACTTTCTTCAGAACCTGACAAAGAGAAACACCACAGCTTTTTACAAATGTCATCAGATTTCCCTTTTGAGTGTTGGCTGGATTTCAAAATACTCAGGCAGGGGAATGCATTTTCAAGGCGGGACATGGATGTTCCCGTGGAGGGACGCAGCTCTGTCTGGTCTGCACAGTGCGCGGCGTGACCGACCTTTCACGTCACCAGCCTCTCCCGCGGGCTGTGAAGCACAGATGCGCACAGAAGCCTGAGAGCCACCCTGGGCCTGGACGGTGACATACAGAGGCGATCGTGTACACAACGCCAGCTACGCTCTCCCCTTCCCTACTCATGTTGTGTGGTCACGGGGACACCTTCTACCATCAAGGATGTTTCTGGCCTTCCCCTCTAACACTCAGGAACTGCTTCTTCTCTCTTTTGCCCATTTTCATCAATTCTAAGTCATGATGCAAAGGAAGCTGATAATGAAGGGAACCAGGGAGTTAAAACCGCGCAGCTCTTTTCCTTTGTAAAGCACGTTGAGTGGGATGTGCCCTGGAGCTCCGGGTGACAAGTGTCTCTTATCATTTCCAAGACTCAAGTTCGCTCCTGTGTCCTAGACGCGAACCTCCCTTTATAAGTTTAGTATTAAGGTTGTAAAAGTCAAAGCAAATGCAGACAAAAACCAGATAGGATACAAAGGAACTTCTGGAAATTGCCAAATCTCCAGCTTTAATAAGGGCAATTCTGAGCCAGATAACCCGGGAGAAAATAAATCTTAATGGCTGTGTACGAAATCAAAGAGTTCCATGTTTTATTTCAGGTTCAAAGTCATTATAATCCTTTTCTGGCTCGAATGTTCAAAGAGGCTTTGATCCAGTTCTGTAATTACTATATATTTTCTTAAATTCACACTAGGAGAATATGATAAAGTCACAGATAAATGTGATCACAACATACAGGGAAGAAAGAACTGTATGGAAGTAAAGTTGGAAATTAAGAAATGATTTAAGTGTGGGTCTGGAATGTACCAGGCCAAACTAACAAATCAGGATTGTTAAAATTTAGGTGATTTGGCAAAAACTGATTTAAAATTTAAAGCTCCATGTGGTTGGTATAATGAACTTTCTCACTGAAGGAAAATAATTTAAGTACATCTTTTGGGAATAATACAATCTCATGTTTTCTGCTTTTTAAAAAAGATCATGATATTAAAAGAGCAATCTGCAGGGTTCTTTATGTAGCAAATTAAGAATACTATTTCTAAGAACAATTTTTTTTCACCTAATTACCTGAAATGATACATATATATCACTCTCCTGTTTTCAACTTTTCAAGAATTTGAGTGGTACATGGTTTTAATGGAAAAAAAAAAACAAACTTAGGCGCTGTCTTTCTATCAGAGTTCGTCCATCATGCTAAACTGATAAAGGGAAGGAAGCAGCCTATAAAGGTGCCTGACCTAGGGCTTTTCTCCAGTTTCCTTCTCAGCTCACCAGCCAGAGCTGGAAACTAGAGGGTCGGTCTCCCCTCACCCAAGTCCATTTATACTTGGGAGGTGGGGAGGGGGGGACACTCAGAAAAATGCTTGCATGGCTGGTTTCAAAGAAAGGATTCATTCAGAACAGCTCTCCTCGCTCTCTCCTTGGGTACAGGTCACTAGCAAAGAGAGAGCGTTCCTTTATTGGATTCAAGCATAACTTTGTTGTGCAGGGTTTTTTATTTAAACTCTAACAACATTCATGGGCACTTGGGTATCGATTCAGAAAGAAAAACAATTAGTTTTCTCTGTGTAGAAGCTCCATGTCCTCTTACAGTATTTGGGTGAAGGCAGCTCTGTCCTGAACAAGATGCCTTTAAACTCGCAGTCTCGTTAGAAATAGGAAAGCATTAATGACTAAACTTATACTGCATCCCAGACAGGACAAAGCACCGATATTCCTCATACACTGTATTATTTTTGGTAAATCAATGTAAAAACAGACTATATAATATTGAATGAAATTATCTGTTATCATCAAACCCTCAATAAAACCTCAATTTGTATTAATATTTACAAAGCCAAATACTCAAATCTTAGAAAGGCTATTATGTTCTCTGAGAAAACTGAAGTGGAGAAAGCCTGCTAGACCCTCAAGGAAAGATATTCTAAGTGAGGCTGGGTGAGAACCCCAGGATCTCAGAACTTTCAGAAAGGTCTAAGTTCCTTCTCACAGATAACCAGCACCCGGGCAGGAGAGATGTCTCACAGCCGGTGAACACGCCAGACAGCTCCCTAGAGGAGAACCCCTGCAAGTCCGTTTGTTCCCTAATTATAATGGGCAGCAACCCGAGAGAAGGAACACTGAAGCCTTTATCTTCATTTTAAATCAATAAATAGGACATTCTAGGGAAAAAAATGCGTGATTGTTCTAGTGGGCTTTAAAGGGCCTATTTACAATTTCAAAAAATGTAACCCACGTGACAAAGTGTAAGCTCTATTATATTCGGCTTACTGTTTGCAGACTAGAAATTTCACTGTTTAAAACAATGAAGACCACATGACTGAATCCTGTCCTCTCATAAAGCAGAAAATCATAGCACAGAAATTCCTAAGGGGCAAACTGGAGAGAGGGAGAGGCTGACTGTTCTCAAACTTGTATCATCTCGTCAAGATTATCAACACGCACTTTAAATATTTCCTTTTAAAAGGGCAGGTACATGAGATCTTAATTATGACCACTCCAGTTATTTACTTTGTATGATCTAAGTTACTCACATCCAGTTCTTCAAATAAAATCACGTATTTATAGAAAGTGGCCATGCCTAAAATTCTGGTTTCTTAACTAATATTATCTGGTCTTTACTTGCTTTATAATACTCTGTAAAAAGAAAGCAATTTTAATTAGAGTTATAAAGTAGTACTTTATATATTGTCTATGAACCTGAGTTAAAACATATATTGGGAACCAATCAATTTCCATTATATTTCTGATACTGAGAACTGCCTTCCAAGATTAATAATCAAAAAGATTTTAAGAGCTGCTAGATGTTTGAGTAGCTAAAAAAAACTAGCAGCTGCTAAAAAAGACTGTACACTTGAAATTTAAAAATTGTATACATGAGTTCACAAATAGCTGATTAAAACATACATATATATATTACACACTAACTTAATTTTTAAATCTATCTTAAGAAAACACCCTTTATTAAGCATCTACCATATGTGAGGCAATTTATTAATTCTAAGACCTATTTTATAGCTCAGAGAACTCAGACTTGGAGAGATTAACTTGTCCATGATCTCACAGTTAGTAAATGACTTGGCTGGCACCCAATTACTAATTTCATTTTACAGCTGACGTCAGAAGGAGGTTATCTGTATCTATTTAAGCAACTGTACATGAATAAATAAAAGTTAATTAAAATCTCATTAACAAATTTAAAAGCTGTAATAGTGAAATGACAATTCAAGCATCTACTGCTCCACTAATTGGGAATAAAATACTCCGGGGGATGTATTTCTACTTTAAATTGACAATTTATATACGTCTTTAAATGGCCACCCCCGGATGACTGTCTTTATCCACACGAGTGCAGCCGGACCCTGTCCTCAGGGTGCCTCCCACCAACACTTCCCTTGAACGGATTCACCTCCGGCCACCTCTGCCTCTCCGCTCCTGGTCCAAGCTACCACCGTCTCTCGCCTGGACGTCTATGAAGGATCTTACTTCCACTTTTATACCTTTTTTCACCGAGTCAAGAAATCTCTTTAAACTGAAAATCTGATCGTATCACTATCCTGCTGAAACCTTCGGGTGGCTTCTCCCTGCACTGAGAATAAAATCTAAGCCTGTCTCCATGGGGCACACACTCCTGCAGGACGCAGCTCCCCTCACCTCTCCAGACCTCACCCCCGCCCCTCCTTCCGCCCGGGACTCACGGTGCTCTCTGGGCCTCTGCACTCACTGATCTCTCATTCGAAGGGCCCCAGGCTTCCCGCCCTTCACAGGGCGGCGTACCACCGCAGAGGCCTTTTCTGACCACACCATACAAATCAGTTCTCTTCTCTTCTTTCCTATCATAGCAATGTTTGTTCTCTTCAAGGCACTTATCACAACTAACGATTCTGTTAGTTTTGTTTCCTGATTATTAGTTTTTACCACTGAATTATAAACCCCACAATGTTGGCAACCACGTTTGTCCCCTGCAGTGATAGCCCCTGCACATCGCTTAGCACACAGTAGGCTCTCAATAAGTATTTATCCAATGAATGAATCCCCAGTCCCTTCACTCCCTCAGTGTATTACAGAAGAGAAGCTGCTACGACAAAACAGACTGAACACTGATACGGACCCTTTACAGCTTCTGATTTTGAATGTTAAGCAGGAATGAAGGTGAGCTGCTTCTCTGTATGACATGGACAAGGACACTAAAACTCCTAACTTAGTTATTTAAATGTTCCCTTTCAGTACCACCAGGGGAACTGGATGCTAAGGAGGGATACAGCAGCATTTTCAGCCAGAAGCTCAAAATATTTTAGCTGCAGTGTGTCTGCTCCCCACCACATGCAGTGCGAGACGACCCTAGGGACACTTCCCTCGGGAGGGGTAAAATAAGACATCCTTACAGCCCTTCATTTTCCAAACATCATCAGGACGTTAACCACGTACTAGAGGTTTGCTGTGACGAATGTAAATTCATTCACCTAACACACATTCGATGGGTGCCTGATACCCTCAAGGCGCGGTGCTGGAGATGAAGAGGGATGCCCCGTTCTCAACCTCGAGAAAAACACATACGGGCTTGAAAGGCAAATAAGACAAGAGCACAAACTGTCCCATCCCCAAGTGGAGAGTGCTGAGTGGCAGCAAACAGACTCAAGTGATGTGAGCTTTACAGGAGAGGAGGAGTTCTGATTGCAAGAGCAGCTGAAGAGTCGGCTGCACGTGGGACCGTGGGACTGGGGAGACGGGACGGGGGGAACACCGGCACTGTGGTGGGGGGAGGGGACCACGGAGGGTGTGTCTGCTGACCAGCGAGGAAGGGCGGGAGGCAGAGCTGGAAAGGCCAGCAGGAGGGGGGCTTGAGAAGGGTCTGAACTTCACTCAGGGGCCCGAAGTGGAACCAGGGAAGGTCTCTGACCTCGCAGGAGTGGGAGGGGAAGTGGCGGCAGTCTGGAAAGGGAAAGGAAGGGGTGGCGTGAGACTCACAGACTGCTTCATTAGTCTAGGGGAGAGGGAACAGGGGACAAATTAGCAGAGTGGTGGAGAAATCACGAAAATTGAATGAATGGGAAAATGGGAAATATTTCAGTCTGAAACTGATCACTTTCCCCATCTTCCTCACTCCCTACCTAAAGATGGTCCTGAAAAAGACAAGAGTGCTTCTGAACACAATGGGCAGGTGTGAGGTTTGCCCTCTGTATGTCTAAGTTGAGAAGCCAGCAACTCTGGGGTCTAGCAGACAGTTCAAAGAGAAGACAAGAACTCAGGTGGGAGGAGGAGACAGAGGAGAGACATTTGGGGAAATAAAGTAAAAGGCTTCTCAGAAAGCTGGGTGGAAAGAGAACACAGACTTTTTATATTCTCCTTAAGTGTGAGCCAGCTTGAATGCTGATGTGCCAACTCCCAAGGTGACATGACAATTCTGACTTGTTTCTGAAAGACTCCGGACCTCTTCAGTGTGCTCCGGTCATAGGAGCAACACAACTCGGGTTACTATTGTGATAATAAATGCCTCTTTAAATTTTACGGCAATTGTCACCGTATAAATGTAAACACGTAATCAACTCACCTTCTTTACGATTTTAAGAGACTGTGAAAACAGAGGTAGCCGTACCTTCTCGTAATGAGTTTCCATGCATAGGAAGATGGTGTAGGCCGTAAGGCAAGCCAAACAGCCTTCCAGGTAGGACTGGCCCCCAAGCTTCTCTGCTTCTGCATAAAGGTTATTGAGAGTTCGAACAGTTTCTTCAAATTGTTGCCTATCAATCTGGATGAAAAAAAGAATTTTAAAGTAAGTTTGGGGAAAAAAAATGATCAGTCACTTTGGCTTATGATCACTCATTTAGGTTTTGCTGTTTTATCAACATTCCTATCTCATAGTCAGCAAACGATTTTCTTTGAAGTGATTGAATCTCGACCTAAGTTACTGAAACAGGTTAGTGTGTGTTTAGTTTTAGCCTTCTTGTGGACACTGGGTAACCTCAAGGCTCAAAATGGTGTGTCTTTATTCTCTATACTGAATTTTAAGTAACTTAATTAAATCACACAATCCTTCCACCCTTACGTCCTCTGGATATGCACAGTCTTTGAATAGACACGTTCACTGAGCACCTACCACCAGATACCATGACAGGTCTTAGAGAAAGACGAGTAAGACACCGTCTAGACCTCAAGGAGTTTACAGTCTTGAGCAGAAGAGACATGTGCACGTAAAAACACAACAAACTGACAGAGCACTCTAACAGAGGCACGTATAAAGCATGGCCAGGGCGCAAGAGGAGATGCATGTTCCCTTTCTCTGGAACGAGCAGGTAATCTTAAATTGAGGCCCCAAAACACTGGAATTTACTAGACAAAAAAAGGGAAGGACATTTTAAGTAGATCAAAAGGTACAAGTTCTGTATTGTTTCCTCAGTCTCCCTCTCTTTTCAAGTAAAGTAACCCCATCTCCCAACTCTTTTAAAGTTACTAAGAGCTGCGGGGGAGGGTAGAGCTCAGTGGTAGAGCACATGCTTAGCATGCACGAGGTCCTGGGTTCAACCTCCAGTACTTCCATCAAAAAAATAAATAAGTAAACCTAATTACCCAACCCGCAAATAAATAAATAAAATCTGGGGGAGGGTACAGCTCAGTGGTAGAGCACATGCCTAGCATGCACAAGGTCCTGCATTCAGTCCCCAGTCCCTCCATTAAAAAAAAAAAGGAAAAGGAAAGTTACTAAGAGATCACATGGAACAAAGCAAAATCTCAAGCTCCCACACAACTCCTCACCTCGAGGGGTCCTATTTCCTTCTTCGGTTCAGTGACACACTGGCTGCCATGCACACTACTGCTGCCACTGTCACCCCCCTTCATTCCATCTGCTTTTACTGTCTTCTTCCAATATCATTTTACTCCCTCCTTCCAACAGTACTTTGTAGATTTCAAACCTCAACGCGCTCCCCTGGGCGTCTCACGGCCCAGTAGTAGCCTGCTTTGTCCAAGCCTACCATTCTCGGTGGGGAACAAAGCGCAGATCACCTGTCCTCATTCTAGCCTTCTCTCACACACTATCTCCTTCATTCCTAAAACGAGTAACTATACATATGAATTCTCCTTTATGAAGTCTTTATATAGAAATTGACACAGAAAAAACTCAAAGAACCGCAGTTTACAGTTTGAGACAACTATTCCCCATAACATGCTTTTTGCTAACAGACAGAACTGTCTGATGATTGAAGAGCATCACTTATAAGGTATTAAAACCCTTTAGGTGGCAAGCAGTTGTTTTGTCCTTTACATGGAAAATCGAGGACTCAATGAACCAAAGGCACCCAAAGCTTTACAGCTGCGGTGACTCGACTTGTGTTTTAAAAGGAGCTGCTTTCAGTTTCCCAGAACATGAGTGTTTCTCACGGAGGCACTGAGAACCAGGCCAGCAACCTTCATTGAGCCTCCACTGTAGATGTAGGGGGGTGGGGGGGTCAAGAACGTCCCCTGGGCAACCTGAGTCAGAGTTCTCCTTCCCAGAGAACACACTCAGGAGAACAGCTCAGTGGACAAACATTAATGTGCTTGCTATCTCCACCTAGTTATGCCTGAGTTAAGGCCTTCAAGTTTACCTATCAGGAAATCCACAAAAGTCTAAGTAATTTCAAACATTCCCATTTGATTTACCTATAGTGTTAGGATCCGAGAAAGAAAGTTCTTCAAATTATGTACGTTTCTTTGGACATAATGTGATTCAAAACTTGGGGATCCAACCCAGAAACATTTTCTTTCTTTCCGATAAGAATTACTGACCACACCAGAAACACTAATTCTTGAAAGTTATTTCAAGACTGCAGGGCTTTAAAGGATGGAGGCAAATCAGACATCATAAAAAAACAAAACAACCAAAACCCACCCAAGGTGAAGAATTTTTTTTTAAAGTTTAATGAAAAAGAACAAAAGGTTTAAAGAAAGTCAAGTTACTCTACAACGTTAAAGAAGGGGGGGGGCATGTTGGTAGCAGAAAAGACAAAGGACACACGAAGGCCTCAATAGCACCTCAACAGCACGGGGGACTTTTCTCACACCCTCAGGCGCCATGAGGAACAGCTGTCCCGGTTCGGCCCTGGGGACCTGGACACTGATACAGCAGCTATACCAAAACCTGGAGATACGTGATGTTGGGGCTAAATACAAATGTGGACCAGCCAACACTGAAAGTCAGAATGGAAATAGGGATCAGGCCCATTTTCCCAGAATTTTTGTTTCTTGTTGAACTACCTCTACTGACCAGATGCAGAGATGTTATTTTTAAAAGTATGGGGGGAACCAATGTCTCAGTAATAGCTCACTCATTTCTCTTTTGCCCAGCCCAAGGGTGCCCAAGATGTCTGTATTTTGGCTAAAGTGAGAATAAAGCTTTCTGTCCTGGCAACAAAGCACTTAAACATCAAAGTGTTACATTCTAACAGGCACTGGAGAAAGTAAACTTGTTAACAGACAGAACTTGTCCTCACTCCCACATTAAAGAGTACAAATGTGTGTGTCTTTAATGTTTTAAAATCATACCAAACATTTGTATGTTTATTTCTTCCTCTATTAAGTTGCCAAGTGCAATGTTCTCACAAGAGGAAAATCAGCCCGAATGGCAGAGCAATCAGTACAATTTCTAGGGTAAGTAGTAGAGAAGCAACGAAACCTTTCAATTTTCTATCAAACAAAGCGGGGAAAATTTAAACCTGTAATTTAAATTTAATCTCGACACATTAAAAAAAAAAGTCAAAGCTTTTCCAAGCAGTTTAAAGTATAAGCTAGTGTTTTAACCCAAACATTTACAAAGGAAAAAAAATTCAAAGGCACAATTGAATAACACCAAATAACATTCCATATAGTACAAGAATCACAGGCAGTTCTGGGCGATGGAAGTCAAAGTAAAAGGACTCCAGGATTTAGAAACATCAATTTCCTGTAAGAACCAGTGGAGTCCTGTGACTATGTTGTGTTTCTGTGACACAAACTAACACAAACTACAAGATTCCACCACACACAGAGAGCAAGGCTAATTGGCGTCTGACTCTGCATACATATATCTGGCTCAATTATAAGTTGAAAGTTTGACTTTAAACCCTTTGAACAAATGAATCATGCGACATCCAAATAAGTGCAGTGAAAAAGAACAGTTTATCTTCTGATTTGAAAGTACATAAACAGTGTTAAGTCAGAGTTTCCCTAAGAGGTTTAAAAAGAAAACATTTGATTCATTTCATATAAGGCCTAACAGGTAAAACATATTAACTGTGATGTTAAATTACTTTAGAAACACTGAGTAGCTCTAGCCAACAGGCAACTTTGTTTAATTTCTCTCTTTAAACCACTGTGGACACGTCCACCTAGTGTCAGGCTGAGGTAACTCTTCACATGGTGACACCAAACTGCAGCATTTCTACGGCATTTCACAAACAACCTAATCTACAAGCCGTCTTTATAAGGCATGCCTGATCTTTACCTGGCATTTAAAGAGATGTACTTGGGCCACTAACCTGCTGAGGGTTTAAGTCAAGCCGAAGGACACTGTAATTGATCACTGTTTATTTTCCAACCTTGGCGGTCAGGTAGGACAACCTGCCTCCCTACAAGCTAATCTTAAACGACTGCTCCAGTGCAGACCCAAATACACCTACTCATTCCACGACCAGCGTGCCTTAGACCCACACCCATGCCGAATCACCTCTCAGTCTCTCACCTTCCTCATCTAAGAAGAAAAAGCCACAAAACCTGCTCTCATCCTCTGAACAGGAAACACACAGTAAGGTTTACCTTTTATAGATCAAGACCAAAACAGTCTTTGTTTGGGTGTGTGAACGCATGTGGGCCCACAAAAACACGCCCACTCACCTAAGCTCGCTTCGCTGCACCTTTTAAGTACACCTTTCTGTGTGCAGGGTTGCCCAAAGGACCCACATCCTGATGACAGTTCTGATATGAAAGCCAACACAACACAGGTGGCTTCCAGTGATCGTAACTCTGAGAGACAAGTTTAAGGCCTGGTTCTGAGACAGTTCTCTGTCCGGGCCCGTCTAATACTCTGCGTTTTTCAAGTTTCAAGAAGGCCTCTCTGCACTGCCTAGCACAGCACTTAAATGAACCCTTTCTGCCTAGCAGCGCGGCCGGCACAGTGGCCACAAACGCCAGTCACGAGAATGGTGATGATGTCTCTTGCGTGAGGTTGGAAGATAAAGCTTGCGACACGCTGAGGTAGGTGGTCTGGAGCGTCAGGAATTAGTTCCTCATCACTGCTGTCAACAAGCTGGAGTGGGGTGGGGTGGGGTGGGGGACGGCCGGGGAAGGCCGCGGCATACGAATTCCCGGCACTGGGTACCATAGCTCCAGAAGGGCAGCAGACCCGGGCGCTTGGCCTTATTCTTCCTCCTCCAACCAGGTCTTGCTTAGTGGCCCTCTTCGTATCCCCGTGGCCCCGACCCCTTCCGTGCCTGCCCCTCCCAGAGCCGCGAGAGGCTCCGCAGGCCGGCTGTTGGCCCGCACTCCCAGGCGCCCCGGGAAGGCTCCCACCCTCGCCCCGGGGCAGGTGCGGGGAGCCAGGCTGCGTACCCGGTTCTCCAGCTCCGCGGGGAACTTGGTCTGGAACTGGCAGCGCGTGCCACTACTGTAGTCTCGCTGAATGAAGACCTTCCCGGACACCGGCGCCTGCTGCGGCCTCATGGCGAGGACAAGACGGGCCGCGCTGCGGGTTCGGGGGACACCAACCACGGTCAGATCCCCGGCCTGGACCCAAGACTCCAGCCCGCCAGCCCCTCAGCCCCACCCACCGCCCAAAGCAGCCCAAGGCCTCCCCGCCCCACTCCCCTTCACCCATGCTGTCACCGCGGGCCTTCAGCTACCTCCCCGGCCCAGGCCCCAAACCCCCCACAGCCCGGTTCGGCCCGGGAAACACGAACCCGCCTCCTCTGCCCTCCAGCTGCTGTCGCACCGCCTACGCCGTCACTTACGTCCTGCCGCAAAAGGCCTCTTTCCACGCCCCTCAGCTCGGCTTCCTACCTCAAGTCTAGGATACACCGTCTCCTCCGGCCGTAAAGCGACCCTGCCGAGGCTGCGCGCTG